TTAATGGATGCAAAAGTTTCGCTGATTTTTGACGTAATTCTGGGGTTTTTTCTTCACTCAGTCTCGAATAAACACTTCACTATTTTTTATGTTGAAAGTGTCAAAATTATTTAACTTTTTAACAAGAAAAATCCCAAAATTGATGTCAAAAATTGTCGCAAAACATTGTTGATTTATTTAAGATGTAATAATCTATTATGACATGTCTTTAATTTGTATTTAGATACATTGTATTTATTTTCAATTTTTCTACTTGAATCGGTCACCTATATTGCATATGATCCATTATTGTATATAATTCAGTCAGTTGTGTGCCATGCGTGATACACGCTTAGGCGATCATGTATCTTTCGATATATGACTGACAAGGCAGATTTTTTTCCTGCAGTAGGTTGCCATTTCTTTCTGTGGTAGAAAGTTACCTTCCAAGGCTATAGAACCCGGTCTATCCTGCTTATCTTTCTCTCCACTGTCCATAGCGGGGGGGGGGGGAGAAATTTCATACCTTTCCCAAGGGTATTAGTACGTAAGTGAATGTAATGGATTCGATTGGAATTCGAATTCGGCTCCCCGACTCCTCAATCCGCGCCTCTATCCATTACGCCACCCTGTTGTATTTTCTATGAATACTACCATATGAAAATTACGATGTAGTAGGTAGAGTGAGGACCTCCGTATCATAGATTCGGAGGGTATCATAGAAAAACAGGTGGGCACGAGGCCCTTACACCGGCCCTGATTTTGAGATCATTACCATGCACCCAGTGAGGATCGAAATAATTATCCATTCTAATAGTGTGTAAGAATAGCTGCTTAACAATTGCTTTAAAAATGTTATTCTCATTGATACCATTGGTTTCGTACGACACAAAACTAGATTGGCAAGCGTCAGTCAGAATTTGACTTGTAAAAACGCACTATGACAAGTGGGTACGTTTTTATTCAGAACATCGTCCGGTTCACACTCCTACACGATCTTTTGAACAGGAGTAGTGGTTGATCCCTTGATTCCTATTTAGGATTGAGTTTCCGGTCCCTCCTAATGTTTACTTCAACTCTATACTCCTACGCTAATATAACTCCACACAGTAACCCTCTACCTTGATTGGCTCTTCGGCCTTGTACTGGAGGAACATTAGTAAAGAAGAAGGAGGCCGAAAAACTGTTATAAACTCTAAATTAAATCCAAGGATCTTTTCTGTTAATTTACCACAAAATGTAAATATTAATATTAATTCACCCTAAGAAATTATAAATTTTAATTCAAAGTTTGTTTTTTTTATTAAATTTTTGGCACTCTTGAAATTATAAATTTTAAATCAAAATTTGTTTAGATTGGCTCGTAACCACTCCAACCCTCAGAATGAAAAATTACCCAAAATCAGGGAGTTATTCACATTTCGTAAGCGCGGATGATATTTGAGGTACTTATAAGGAATTTTTATAATTTAAAAAAAAAAATGTTTGGGTTGATGTTTTAGAACGCTGACCCAACACTTAGATATAGTGCACTTGAGTCGCCCACATTTGCGGCGATCGCAAAGTCAACCCAACCGGAGTGCAATGGAAGGGCCACGCTCTGGAAGAATTTTTGTGTGAATTTTAAATATAAATTCTTTTTTATTTTGGGGTGAATTAATATTTTGGGGTGAATTAAAAGAAAAGATGCAAGAAAAGATGGGGTATTTTAGTTTCTCTGGAAAAAAAAAGATTATTTTTAAATTACGAATAATACAATAGACATTTTACTTGATTCATAACGGATTCAAATTTTCAATAAAGATCTTTCTACCGCTAATGTAAATGAACCTGGGATTGTGGTGGGGGGTTAGAGAGAGAGAGACAGTAGGAGAGTAAGATAGAGAGAGTGAGAGTGAGTGAAAGAGAGCCCGTGAGAGAGAATGAATGAGAGAGAACGAAAGAGAAAGTGAGACAGAGAGTGAAGGAGAAAAAGTGAATAAGTGAGGGGAGGGAGGGAGGGAGGGAGGGAGGGAGGGAGGGAGGGAGAGAGGGCCTGTGAGAGAGAAAGAGAGACTGACTGAATATTGGGTTTTCAATAAAGTTCTTTGTACCGCTATTGTACGTGTACTGTAAATGAACCTGGGATAGTGTGTGTGTTTGTGTGTGTGTGTGAGCGAGCGAGAGAGGGAGACAGTAGGAGAGTAAGATAGAGATAGAGAGTGAGTGAGAGAGAGCCTGTGAGAGAGAATGAATGAAAGAGTGAGTGAGTGAGTGAGTGAGTGAGTGAGAAAGAGAGAGTGTAAGAGAGAAAGAGAGAATGAATAAGAGAGAATTGAGATAGTGTATGGGGGAGAGTGAGAAAGAGAGAATAAGAGAAATTGAATGAGTGAGAGAGAATGAGAGACAGAGAGCTTGTAAGATAGAAAGAGAGAATGAATGGAATGAATGAGAATGAAAAAGAAAGTGAGAGAGAGGGAGTGAGAGAGACAGAGAGAGTGAAAGAGTGAGTGAATGAATGAGAGAGTCTATGTTAGAGAAAGATTGAATGAGTGAATGAGAATGAAAGACATAGTGACAGAGAAAGACTGAGTGAGGGCGAGAGTGAGTGAGAGCCTGTGAGAGAAAGAGAGAATGAATGAGAGAGAATGAGAGAGAGAGCTTGTGAGAGAGAAAAAAATGAATGAGAGAGAATGAAAGAGAGAGGGAGAGAGAGAGAGATAGAATTCAATCATTACGTTTTATTTGCCGCGAAAGAAAACAGAATCGTATCTGCGTTTTTTTTTTTTTGTTTTTTATCCCCCGCCCCGAAAAAAAATAGATTCACCTACGTCTTATATACCGAAGACCATATTGTTCGGTATCTTGTGTGTTAGTCTTATATTCATCAAACACTCGAAAACAGTGCAATTACTTGCTATATCCCTAGGGTACGGTTTTCTCTTCCTCGATTTCGTTTCTTTCATAAGAAAGTAATTTTTCTCATTTCCAAAAGTGTGGAACGAAGATAAGAGGCACCCTTTCCTATTTCTGTGGTTCACTTATATAGAACTAATAATCTATAATAAATAAAAGTGCTTTCTTTAGGAGAGTTCTGAATAAAAAAAAAAATAAAAAAAAAAATGCGTCTTATATACGGAAAACCAGAATTTTAGCTTAATCCGGAAATCAAATGTTAAAATTCTGGATTCGTAGCGGGCAAAACATAAACTATTTAAAATTAGAATTACTGGAATATATATATATATAGCTTAAGCGTCCCTGGACATATTTTTATATACTAATGTCCGCCCAATACAAGACTCAAGAGCCACTCAAGGTAAAGGGTTATTCTTGTACTGTTGTACGAGCGTAAGAAAAGGCAAGAAGTAAAGTTTATGGGGCTATACAGGAAAGATAACGGTTAACCCTAGACTTGAGGAGGTCAAGATCGTAGTGATTTACAGGAGTCTGTTGTTTTTTTTTTTTTTTTTTTTTTTTTTTGGTGGGGTGGGATTACAGCATAGTTCACCCAAAGGCCACTCAAGGTAGATAGACACTGTGTGAGATAGATATGCGCAGGATGAGATAGATAGATAGATAGATAGATAGATAGATAGATAGATAGATAGATACTGAGTGAGATCGATATGAACAGGATAAGATAGATAGATAGATAGATAGATAGATAGATAGATAGATAGATAGATAGATATGAACAGGATAGATAGATAGATAGATAGATACAGATTTTTTTTTCTTATAGTAATGTTCATCCAATACAAGACCGAAGAGAGTTAAAGGGTTAACTCTGTGGTATTGTCCGAGCGTAAGAAAAGGCAAGAAGCGAAGTTCATGAGGCTATGCAGGAAAGATAACGATTAACCATAGACTTGAAGGGGCCAAGATTGTAACGATCGGAAAAACATCCTGCTAGGAGTCTGTTTCCTCAAATCAACAGTTCTTGGGAAGAAGCTGTCCCAATTAAACTTACTTTTTACTATAGGGCTACAAAAGGAATGGTGGGTTCCAGTTGTAAAGGTCAGGGCTGGTGGGACTAAAGAATGTAGCCCGCCAGAACATATGCCAGGGAAGTAGCGATAGAGGATCAAGCGGTTCGCAAAGATTTGTCTGTGGGAAATGGGCTGTAGGATAGAAAATAATTCATCACCCACAAGGCCGCGTAGACTTGAAATAAGCTATAATTTTAGGTAAAAATAGCAATATGTCAAATGTAATTTACTTAAAATTATTAAAATATATATACCTCAGTAACGAAAGGTATAATTTATTTTAAACATTTAAATTCAGTAATAATTTAAAAAAAGAACAAATATATATTTCTTGAGAATGTCTGATGACAGGATACCCAAGATCCTAATGTTCAGCCAGTTAGATCAGGGCTACAGGAATGTAGGACGCCCATGCCTAAGATACAAAGACAAGCTGAAGAGCAACTTGTCAGCTGTCAATATACCACATACACCCTTGAGCGCTTAGCCTTGAAGTGTGTAGAATGGAGATCAACGTGTTTTAGTTGAATCAGCAGTTTTTTTTTTCAATCTGCTTGTCTGGATCGTCTTCAAGAAGCGAGAGCAAGATCTAAAAGGTCAGAAAATCTAACAGTGATCTCATCCAACAATCTTCACTCTTGCTCCATATGCGGCCTCCTTTGTAAATCACTAGCGGGTCTTAAGTGCCACTTAAGATTATCGCACATAATTTCATAACTGAATCAATTTGCTGTTGATCAGATATCACGTGTCGAAACCGACGGGAGAGTCCATTAATATATATATATATATATATATATATATATATATATATATATATATATTATATATAGTAGTATTCCCCGGCGTTGCCCAAAAAATATTCAAAAATCGTATTACTCATACAGCAATCGTTATCACTTGACTTAAAATATTTTTTGTCCTTCCTTGCCTTTAAAGGTGCCCCTTTGCCGTGCTGATGTTGCTGCATGCCTTATTTCTTGCCTATCTCACACTGCAAATTTTTTCTAAGCTCTATACTAAACATTAAATCTGTTACGAAAAAAAGAACTAAACAAAATGAACACAAAACGATCAGCTTTAAAAAAAAAACGTAAGTGGAAAAAACCGAATGAAAAAGAATGTTAACAACAAATACTTTTTCACACCCAACCCAGTTCTGCGGAATCAGAATCAACGTTGAGTTTAAAGGTGTTAAATTATGAGCCAATTGGAAAAAACGTGTCATATAGATTTAAATTTTTTTTACTTGTTTACGAATGCAGCTATCTGATTTTTTTTTTTTTTAGCATGCTAGCATGCTAAATAACATTCGTGTCAGTCAGCTGTTGGCTCTCATTCTGGCCAATAAATCTTCTTGTCTATTCGTGGTATATAGCTATGGGCTTCAATATATGGCCAGTAGAAATGGCCGCAAAAAACATGAAAACTGCCGTAGAAAATATGAAAAAATTAGATTATTTCCACTATCGATGGGAGTTTGAAATGCAAATTCGGTCTTGGCCTTCCCGCTAACTTTTTTAACAAGCATGTAAATTTTGGTGCAAATCCATCGAAAATTGCGGCCGTGCATTCGTCACACACACACACATACACACTCATCCTGCCTCATTTCATGCTCACTAGTCGTAATTGATCTTATTTACAATCTTTATAACCATTAGACAACGTCAAAGAGCCCAAAATGTTCTGAGATGCAAATACCCCCCCGCTTTTCGGGAGCGTCTCATTGTTCACTGTTCAATAATGGTTAATGGTGCTAATCTGGTTCGAGCTGCAGTGAGCGCTCTATACAAAAATCAAGAAAAGTCGTGATCTTGCAGTGGTCGTTCTTGAATCGAAACTGCAATCTTTTAGATTTTAACAATGGTCGAGATTATAAGTCAACCTTAGAGGCGTTGCTTCTAACCCTCTCTATATATGTCTCAAACATTAATATTCCATGGTTATAATTTATAATATATATCCCCACCTCTTTTCCGATTTCTTTTTGAATTTGTAGGTCTGATGAATTGGATCGTGATTACGATTCCAATGTAATAAAATATAACCATGGAATATTAATGTTTGAGCCTTTTATATTCTTACTCTGTCCTGGACATTGAGTTCTACCTGGATTCTATCCTCATGGAAATTTATATATATATATATATATTTACGTTTTTTTGTGTGTAACAATTAAGGGGTAGTGTGCAAAATAACAATGACCCACCCAGTGCCGTGCTAATTTGATCCCATTGACGTGTACTGATAACGCTATCGAAGTGAGTTCTTATATATAACAGGCCACAAATATCTTCAAGAATGCTTTGTTCATTTTTAGAAATTCATTTTAAATTTTAAAAATTATAATTAAAAAAAGCGGTGGGGAACAATTCTTGTAATAATTCATTAGTCATCTTTCATTTTTATTATTTATGATAGAAATTAAAAGCTTATATAATTGAATAATTAGATAGTTTTGATGCAGTTTTTATGTTACGATTCATAGCATATCTTGTAGAATTTGGTAATTGTTTGAAGAAAAAAAATTTTTTTTTAAATTCTATATATATACTTTAATATAAATATCTCCAAATATTCGCAGGACGAGAAATAAGCAGACTCTGAAATTACAGATTGAATCTACGGACTGTCAAGATTTACCCGGACCTTCCAAAGTTTACACAAAAAAACGATTGTGCTTTGGAAACTTTTGCAGCAAATATAAATCTGGTTGTAAACATGGAACATTGAGGATAATATACGGATATCTTTCCTCGGGTGTTTAGAAATTGTACACTGTTCAATTATTGTTAACAACGAACTATTTTGAATTACAAAATTGTATTTGAATTAAACGAAAATTACTTACAATATCTATATCTATAATTTTCAAAATGTGTGTGTGTATGATCGGATGTTGTTTATGCGTTTCCACAATTTTCATCCGATTTCGATGAATTTTTTTTTTTGTTTCATAGATAATTCTTCAGTGCCGGTTTTGAGTTCAAATTGGCTGAAAAAAAAATACAACCTTGAAGGTGAAAAATCGAAAAAAAACTAATTTTTTTCACTTTGCGCAAAAATCAAAGGCAATAATGTCTGTAAAAAAAACGGCGTACAGACAACTTAGAGAGTTGAAATCTAACGCAAAAGATTATTCGAATTATAAAAAAAAATTGTAAATAAAAATTATAGTATATTATTATTAAGACGGTCCATGGAAGAAGTTCCTTCCTTGCAAGATTGAAAACGCAAAAACGGCCCTTTTCAGCCCCCTCCATCGTCATTCAAATTGTTACCCCCCCATTTAGGATGTGCCTCAGTTGCATTTAATTGTTGTTACTAATATTAATTTTCGGGTTCTGTCTTTAAATCTAAACTGTTCCAAATGAACGGCTAAAATTTCAACAGTAATTTGTGCACCCGGTCCAAGACAAAGTATCCTTTAGTAATATGTATTACTTATAATACATTCTTTCTTGACGTTAATTTTGACGGCACGGGTACACTAATTTATAAGATAAAAGTCTATATTACGCCGACTTATTGCATAATTAAATATTCTGTATTTGAATAATGTTTTTTATGTTTTAATTATTTTCATTATTCGACCTCATCGTAGAGTAAGATAGTATAATAAGATTTAATATAAATATCTCCAAATATTCGCTAAAAAATAAGTATACACAGGGAAAAAATATCCAATTTAATTAGAAGAGCTTTTAATTGCTTTTATGAATACGATATATTAAGGACACTATTTTCGATGAATACTGAAGTTTTGAAAGAATTGTTTTCATTTTTTTAAAATTTTAACTATAATAATTCATAAAGTTTTAAATATTTTAAAATTCTGTGTTAATATGTAGCGGTTAGGTGATATTGTTATTAAGTAAAAGCTATATTTCAGTCAGCTATGTGCCAAGCGTGATACACGTTTAGGCGATCATGTATCTTTCGATACATGAGTGACGAATCAAATTTTTTACCCGCAGTAAGCTGTCATTTTTTCTGCATTAGACCAGTTGCCATCCAAGGCTATAGAACCCGGTCTGTCCTTCTTTTTACCCTTAGCTGGGGCGTGGGGAGAAGAAGAGGATTCATTTCTCGAGAGTATCAGAACGTAATGAATGTAATGGATTCAACAGTAATTCGAACTCGGCACTCTGATTCCTCAATCCGAGCCGCTATCCATTACTCCACTATTACTAATCATAAATGGCAAAGCTTACTACAATTCATCGAACCCCAGTATTTTAAAAATGATTTTTAATTTTTTTTTTTTGTGCGTATAAATGTGTCGAATTTTTGTAAATACGGACGTCTATTTACATTATTATAAAATAAGATTGGTAGATATAATTAATGTTAAATTTATTGCTAATTTTCTAACATTTCCTTAACAAGCGTCTTCGTAAGTAAGATTATAAAGTCAAAGTACGTAAAATACAATAAAATATTAGATTACTTAGAATATTTTCCTCAATATTACTAATACTGTTAATGTTACTTAAAAATTATATCAAAAGCGTCCACATTGTATTCGTCAAGTAATTTTTACTTTACTTAAATTAACCAAACATTATGATATCGATAAATCTGTTAACATCTCACAAAAACACCCACCTCCATGTTAAAAAATGCTTTTCTGCGATATTTTAAACTAAAAGTAATATTTGTTTTAGCTCAGATGAATTAATCTTTAAATAGGTTAATCTTCCTCAAATAACGTTTCAGGAAAGAATATTTTATTTTTGAATGATTTTTTAGTAAAGATAATTATGTTACATTGACAGATTTGTCAATATGGTCGATTTTAGCGATTGCAAAAAAATAATACGATCAATTTAAACTCGGTTTGAAATACAGTCAAATATTTTCCTTATTGGAGATATTAAATTTAATCTATTAGGTTGAAATTAAAAATAAAATAAAATCTTCAAGAAAGATCTTTCATGTTTAAAATGCATTTTAAAGCTTAGATATCACTTATTTAAGAGGTAACTAATTTAATTACTTCTTTGGGGTGGGGTAATTAATTTAATTATTTCATCAGATTAGCAATACTAGTAAAATTCGACCAGTCAAATTGTATCATGATTCTATAGTAAAACATTTCAAACATTTCGATAGCTAAAAGAATTGCTAAATAAATAACATTTTTACATATAATTTTAATCTAAGTATCGTTACACTTCAAAAGTTGCTTGTGTAAATAGATGGCAGAATAGGGATTAGAAGAGATAGCAAAAAGGCAAAATTTACTAAGAGCTACAAAGGATAGGAGATTGTGGAGTTCCATGATCGCCAACGTCCTGAAGGGACACGGCATATAGAAAAACATCGGCTATTATTACTTATTTTTATTCGGATTAATCTTACATTAAGAAAGTATATGTTTTAATGTTTTCTGTTAATTGTTTATTTAGTATCAGATTAATAGTAAATTCGATCAGCGAAATTGTATCATAATTTTAAAATTGAGGCCCCATTGGCAAAGAGAAGTGATGCCGTATAATAAAAAGTTTTTACCCGGATAAAAAAATATCAAATGAGAAAAATCAAAATTGGACATATAATTTTAATTTAAATTTGAATTTTTTAATTTTAAAATTTAAAATTTTGCCTATCGACCGGTTTACATTCCTCTCTTGTTTTTTAACAGGACTAGAGGTTTATCCCCTATTTCCTGTTTAGTATTGGGTTTCTGATTCCTTCTAAGGTCTACTTCTCCGTCTAACGTCTCCACCTGAACTCTAAAATTTTATTCACTAAATCTTGACCTCTTCAAATCTAGAATTAGCTGCTATCGTTCCTGCATAACCTCAAGAAGTTCCTTATGCTAATAAAATTCCACACAGTAGGCCTCTACCTTGAGTAGCCCTTGGGCCTTATATTGGGTGAACATTAGTAAAAAAAAAATTTTCAGTTAAAATTCCTTTTTTTATCTTATTCTTTTGAGTCGACCTTATTAACTATTATTTTAAAAAACAACGATAATTTAAATAATTGGAAATATGAAAATATTAGAAAAATACAAATAAGCCTCCCAAATCTACTTTCGA